ATTATCTATCTGTCTGTCTGTCTGTCTACCACCTATCATCCATCATCTATCTATCATCTATCTGTCTATCTATCTATCTATCTATCATCTATTGGGTTGTCAGAAAAGTCATGATGTATTTTTGCAACGAAAAACATACAAAAATATGTCATGACTTTTCCGACAACCCAATATCTATCATTTATCATCTATCTATCTATCATTTATCTATCATCTATCATCTATCTATCTATCTATTATCTATCTACCTATCATGTATCTATCTATCTACGTATCTATTATCTATCTATCTATCTGTCTGTCTATCATCTATCATCTATCTATCTATCTATCTATCTACCTATCATCTATCTATCTACGTATCTATCATCTATCTATCTATTATCTATCTATCTATCTATCTATCTACCTATGTATCATCTATCTATCTACGTATCTATTATCTATCTGTCTGTCTATCATCTGTCTATCTACCCTCTGTTCTCTGTCCGTCTTCCCCGTCTCGCCCCGTCTTTCCTGCCCCCCACCCCCCGACTGCGCACGGAGACCTGACCTCTGACCCCAGGCCAGCGAGCAGCTCAGAGGGTCCCAGCCACGTGCTGCTCCGTCCCCGTGAGCACCGGGGGAGGTGACAGGCCCCTTGCCGGGTCCCTGCGCCCCTGTGTGTCCCGGCTCCGTCCTGCACCCCGATTCGTACCTGCTGGTTGGCTGGATGGTTCTCGCTCAGTACATCTTTGATGTGCGGGATTCGTGGGGACAGACGGTGCAGCCTGAGGAACCTGGGAAGACGACACGCGTGTGAAGCACGGGCCCGGCTGTCCGGCTCCGGCGCGGCGGTGCCCGTGACAGGCCTCCGGGCCCACGTCCTCCGAGCAGCGTCATTTAAGCCTCCCGGGACAGAGCAACTCTCATCTCAGATCAGTGACACAGCAGCAGGGCGATGGCCCCAAGGATCTTTCTAGAACCTTCGCTCTGCCGCTCGGACGCACGGCTGGGAGTGGGGGGGACGTGTCCACTCCAGGGGGCCTGGCGGCGTCCAGCGTCTCGGGCATTAAAAGGCCGAGGTCCTCGGAAGGCAGCTGTCCCTCCGCTGACTTTGGAAGCCGGTGGCTTCTGAGGGGCAGCTTTCCGTCCCTGCGCTGGGCTCACTGTCTGTCACTTATTTGTAGTGGTGTCACCTACACAACGCATTTCGTCTTGGGGAAGCAGACGGACCTTGCCACATTTTCTGAGGGGCATTTATTCGCTGAACGGTGGCCCCAAAAGGCACTAAATTCAGGTCCTGACCCCCAAACATGGGGACGGGGCCTTGTCTGCAAACGGGGTCTGTGCGGATGGGACCGAGTGAGGGGTCTGAGAGGAGGGCGTCCTGGATCAGGGGGGCCCTGACCCCAACGACAGTGTCCTTATCGGGGACAGAAGAGAAGGGACATAGACACAGAGGGGACGCCACGTGGAGACGGAGGCAGAGATGGGGGGGAGGCTGCCACCCGCCCGGGGACGCCTGGAGCCCCCAGGAGCTGGACGGGGCAGGAGGGACCGTCCCCTGGGGCCTCCGGAGGGAGCGCGGCCCTGGGACAGCGTG